AAATTTGAAGCGAGGTTAAGGAGACCCAACGATTCACGTGCTGGTCGTGAAACAAGCAATTGAGACTGAGGCTGAATTACAAGTGGATGAGCAGCCCGAATCGCTTAAACCTTTATTGAAGGAATTTAGCGAACCGATGCCCGAAGAGATTCCAGATGGGTTGCCGCCTATGCGTGATATTCAGCACCATATAGACTTAATTCCGATGCTAGTCGCAAATTTACCGCACTACGGGATGAGTCCAAAAGAGAGCGAGATTCTAAAAGAGAAGGTGGAGGAGTTGTTGCGAAAGGGACACATTCGAATAGCATGAGCCCATGTGCTGTTCCCTTATTGACTCCTAAGAAAGATGGGAGTTGGCGGATGTGTGTAGATAGCGGGGCTATTAATAAAATAACTGTGGATTACAAATTTCCAATTCCAAGATTGGATGACATGTTGGATAGGTTGCACGGTGCTAAGTGGTTTTCGAAGTTGGATTTGAAGAATGGATACCATCAGATTCGGATTCGGCCCGGAGATGAATGGAAGACAGCTTTCAAAACAAAGGAGGGGTTGTACGAATGGTTAGTGATGCCTTTCGGACTTTCCAATGCTCCAAGCACTTTCATGAGGCTTATGAATCAGGTTCTAAAATCTTTTATTGGCAAATTTGTTGTAGTTTATTTTGATGATATCCTGATTTATAGTAAGACCGAGGAGGATCATCTGATGCATTTAAAGGAGGTGTTGATAGCCTTACAGATTAATAAGCTGTATATTAATCTTAAGAAGTGCAGTTTTTTAACTAATAAGTCGTTATTCTTGGGGTTTATTATTATTTGAAGGAATAGAGGTAGATGAGGCGAAGGTAAGAGCAATCGAGAGTGGGCCGACTCCTAAAACAGTTTCGACGTTAGGAGTTTTCATGGGTTAGCTACTTTCTATCGGCGATTTATTAAGAATTTCGATACTATCGCAGCCCAATTACGAATGTATGAAGAAAGGCAAATTTCTATGGGGAGAGGAAGCTGAGAATAGTTTTGCTATTTTGAAGGAGAAGTTATGTCTTGCACTGTTCTTGCTTTACCCGATTTTGATAAACCTGTTTGAAGTGGATGTGATGCTAGTGGAGTGGGTATAGGAGCGTTTTATCTCAAGAGCGCGAGACCTTTGCTATTTTAGTGAGAAGCTCGTGACGCAAGGCGAAGTGGAGCACTTATGATAAAGAATTCTATTCTCGTCGTAAGGGCTTTGAAGACCTGGGAGTATTATCGATTGGGAAAGAATTCGTCCTTTATTCGATCATGAAGCTTTGAAGTATCGAATAGTCGAAGAGGATTAGCAAAGATATGCATGCGCGATGGTGTCAATTCTTGCAAAAATTTCCTTTCAGATTACGACAAGTCGTGTGCATAATGTCGTAGGAGATGCATTGAGTAGGAGAGGCTGGCTTGTTGATTACATTAAGCCAAGACATCTTGGGGTTTGAGCGGTTGAAAGACTGTTATGCGATGATGATGACTTTGGAAAAATTTGGGAGTCATGTGTCATGTGGTCAATCAGTACAAGAATTTTATGTGCGGGATGGCTATTTGATGCGTAGCAACCAGCTTTGCCTTCCTCTAACATCATTACGAGAGAAGGTAATTCGCGATTTACATGATGGTGGATTAGCCGCACATCTAGGTCGTGATAAAACTATTCTTGCAGTCGGAGCGATTTTACCGGCCCCGCGTAGAGATGTCGGTAGAGTACGTACAAAAGCGTTATGTTTGCCGGATCGCTAAGGGTCAATATAAGAATACAGTCAGTATATGCCTTTACTGTTCCTAACAATATATAGGAAGATCTGTCCATGGATTTTGTGCTTGGTTTACCACGGACACAAAGAGGCGTGGATTCTGTTTTCGTTGTGGTTGGAGATTTTCCAAGATGGCGCACTTCATTCCTTGTAGGAAAACTTCGATGCGAAGTGTGGCCGATTATTCTTTAAGGAAGTGGTTCGTTTGCATGGTGTGCCCAAGTCTATTACCTCGAATAGGGATAGTAAATTTCTAGGGCATTTTGGCGGACTTTATGGAAACTGTTTGAATCATCTTTGAATTTCAGATAGCACGCTCACCCGCATGACTAATGGGCAAACGAGGTGGTTAATAGAACTCGGGAAACTTGATTCAAGCATTTGTGGAGATAAGCCGAAGCAATGGGATGTTGCTTTATCACAAGCGAGTTTGCTTATAATAATGCGTTCATAGTTCTATTGGCGGTCGCATTTTTCGTTGTTTATACAAAGGCGCCTCAAGCATACTGGGATTTCGTACAGCTTGCCTAAGCAAGCGGATAAAAGTGTAACAATGCGGATCATATGGCTAAACAGATTGTGGAGGTACATCGTGAAGTCAAACGAAGTTTGGAGGAAGCTAATCGAAGTATAAAGTCAGCAGCAGATAAGCATCGGCGGAAACAGTGTTTGCGGTAGGTGATCAAGTCATGGTTTTTCTTCGTAAAGAGCGATTACAACTGGATCTTACGATAAATTACAGCAAAAAAGTATGGACCTTACGTCGTCAGCAAGAAAATCAACGATAATGCTTATGTTATAGACCTTCCACATAGCATGGGCATATCCAACACTTTTAATGTTGCTGATTTGTCACCGTTTCATGAGTCCACGAGCCGTTTTATCCAGATCCCGATTTTAACTCGAGGACGAGTTCTTTTCAAGTGGAGGAGAATGATGCGGAATCTATTAGTGGTGCGTTTTTGGACCGATTGGACGGCGAAGTCAAACGGAAGGCGAAAGATGATGTGACTAGAACCGGTGGACCCGATCGACGACATCGGATATTTTTTATGAGTTAATTTAAAAAGGCGCTTTTCTAATTTTGATGTTTTACGCTTTCCAATTCAGATTAGGTAACTTTCCTATTATGATTAGGTTTCCAATTCAGATTAGGTAACTTTTCTATTATGATTAGGTTTCCTATTGTAATTAGGTTTAACCCCTATAAAAGGGTGTTTAGGGTTGTTTTGAAGACAGAACATTCTTATCATCAATATTGAATTTTGAGATTTTTCTCTCTAAGCAAGGTTTTGCTTGAATTATTCGCGGAACGCTGCGTCACAAAACAACCAATGGAGTCTCACAAGTCCGGCAGATGTTTTGTCTCGGCCAATTTTGATGCAAATTCAGACCATGCTCCCACCTTCAGGCCATGGCAGTGATGATTTGCTGGTCTGGGGCAGCAATTGCAGTGGTTCATTCATGGTTAAAGAAGCTCACGAATTTATTTCACCGAGACATCATTTGCCTACAGATAAACTCTAGAGTTTAGTGTGGAAATGGGATGGGCCGCAGAGGATTAGAAGCTTCTTGTGGCTGGTTTCTCATTAGCGCTTACTTACTAATTACGAAGGTTTCTAACGTAAAATCACTGCGAATTCCTTTTGAACTTCTTGTTCGCAATCCTGCGAAACAATTTTACATGTGCTTTGGGACTGTAAGTACGCAAAAGCTGTTTGACAAAAGATCTTGCCGGCAAGCTTAGGGGCAAATTCTTTGCCCATGATGATTTGTACAAGTGGTTGTTGGCAAACTTATTCAACAACTTTGGTAAAAGAAGCTGATTGACCACTAGTTTTTGGTGTAACTTGTTGGCATATTTGGAATTGGAGAGACGAGATTATCTCAGGCAAACTTTTCTCTTCCTAGTGCACCGTGAGCCTAATTTTGGGATATGTTAAAGACATCCTTTCGATTTGTATGACTGAAAACAAATTGTCTTCTCAGAGGGAGAAACGGGATATGTTTGTGGGTTGGACTGTCCCTCCTTTTGGTTGGATCAAACTCAATTCTGATAGGGCCTCTAAAAATAACTCGGGTCTAGCTTTAGTAGGTGGGCTTCTTCTTAATGAATTAGGCAATTGGCTTGCTAGGTTCGCGCAAAATGTGGGAGCGTGTTCTTCCCTCAAAGAAGAACTTTGGGGCATATATTTGGGTCTCAAAATGGCCATCTCATTGGGCATTCGCAAACTTATCGTGGAGGTGGACTTGCAAGCGGCTATTTTCCTTCTTCAGAAATCAACTCCCTCTCTCAATTTTGGGGACATTCTCCTTTCTCGAATTGGGAAAATGTTAGAGTATTTCCAACAGTTTAAAATTGTACATACTTTTAGGAAATGATACTCATGTGCAAATTGATTAGCAAATTGGATATTTCAGTCATTTGATGCAAATGAGACTCTAGCATTAGATAAGTCATCGGGAGGTTTACTTAAGTTGTTGATAGGAAATCAAGTTTTATTAGAAGAGTGTAACTCTAGGGTTTTGCCCTCATTTCTTACAAAAAACAAAACGGACTCATTTCAACATTCCAGAGCCACAAGTTTGATTATAACAAGAAATGTAAATGGACTATAGCAACATCGAGTTTATGATGAGCGAAACTCTAGCCAACTTGCACCTTGAGTATTTGCTACCATATATGGAGAGAGTTCATGATTTCTACCGTACGAATAGAGCTGCGGAGACCAGTTCATACATCTATAGTTACAATGAATAGTTATAGCTCAATCCGAATATTTGAATCTAAACATTTCATAAAGAGCGTGAGACTATTATGGTAATGGCCAAGGGGTAGCAGTGCTACTTGCCCCTCCGCAGCCGTTCACGAATAAGAGGAAAAGTCTACAAGACGCCATATTTTCTTACGGTCCTAAAGAGTATTCAAACGATAAATATCTTTTGACGAGAGGATCGTGCACATGATTGACGCAGGAGAAGAACATACCAAACCCCATTCAAGTCGCACACGTGCCACCAATTCACCCAGTCACAATCAGGGAAAGGTCAAGCCTTGCATAGTTCTCATGCCGAAAAAGAGGAACTTGGTGTGAAGAGAGAGGTCTATGTATTTGGTGAAGTGCGGTCCCCACTGTCCTCCAAGTGCGGCTGCCACTACCGTCTTTTACACAGGAACGAAAGTCGGATTCAGATGCTCCTATAAGTCACCCTCCGTAGTGGACTTCACATAAACTATTGAGGACATGGCAGCCACTTCTCCCATCAAGCTTCTCCCATTCGCGTTCCTAGTGGTCCTCTATCTTCTCAGCACCGGCAACATTGCTCCCCAGAAGGTCAATGCTCGTGCCACGGCGTGCAATGGCTCGATAGCTGAGTGCAGCGAAGAAGCAGAGTTCCAGATGGACTCGGAGATCAACCGGCGAATCCTCGAGCAGAAGAAGTATATATCTCCTGGTGCGCTCAAGAGAGACCAGCCGGTCTGCAATGGGGGAGGGAGTGGCAATGCCTACAGCAAGAGTGGAGACTGTCTACCTCCTCCGTCAAATCCCGAAACCCGAGGTTGTTCCAAGTACTACCGGTGCAGGTCTGATTCGTGATAGTCTCTGAGTTTCTTGCTAAGTAGATGATGGAAACACAAACGCTCTTGATTAGTTTCGGTAACATACTTCATGAACTGCTTCGAAATGATCTCCTCATGCAAAGTTTGTTGGGTTGATCTATCAGTTTCCTATTTGATTCCGATCATGTTCTGATACTCTAGAGTACAACAACATCCCTAGTATGCAGCATATGAGTCTGTTTCTTTCAAAAAGACAACTGTTTCAACCAGAAGTACTTGACAACGAAGAAGCAATTCCTTGCAAAACAGTAGCTCATATTGTTGGTTCAGCTCATCACAAACATGTAAGGGGCTGAAAAGAAAAGGCATTCATTTGCAAACAAATTTGTAAAGTTCAAAATACCCGATCCCTGGTGGATTTCCACGAAAACAGGGAGACATTCGAGCGAAAATTTCTGGCGTCCCTGAGATTATTTGAGACACTCGTCAAATCAACTTGAAACATAGAAAATAAGGTAACTGTAGCAAAACGGGACGAGAAAGAATGCACAATTCACCAAAATCTGTATCTGCTTTTGACTCAGAATGCATGATTCTTTTGTTTGAATATTTATCACACAATCATTTCTTTTGTTTGTTTTCAAATCATGCGTGCTTAGACAGAAGCAGATAGGACAATTAACATGTCTAAAAAGAAATTATGCATCTGCAAATCTTGAAATTAGAACAGTAGAAGAATAATACTGGGTAGGACAACAATAATATTTAACAAGATGATATCAGTTTATTGGGTTGATCTACGGTTGCCGATTTGATTCGGATTATGTTCTGATACTCTAGAGTACAACAACATCCTCAGTATGTAGCATTCAAGTCTGTTTCTTTCAAAAAGATAACCGTGTCAACCAGAAGTACTTGACAAGGAAGAATCAATTCCTTGCAAAACAGTAGCTCATATTGTTGGTTCAGCTTATCACAAACATGTTAGGGGCTGAAAAGAAAAGGCATTCATTTGCAAACAAATTTGTAAAGTTCAAAACACCCGATCCCTGGTGGATTTCCACAAAAACAGTGAGACATTTGAGCGAAAATTTCTGGCGTCCCAAGATTATTCAAGACACTCGTCATATCAACTTGAAACAAATAAAATTAGGTAACTATAGCAAAATGGGACGAGAAAGAATGCACAATTCACCAAAATCTGTGGCTGCTTTTGACTGAGAGAATGCATGATGATTCTTTTGTTTGAATCTTTATCACACAGTCATTTCTTTTGTTTGTTTTCAAATCATGCGTGCTTAGACAAAAGCAGATTGGACAATTAGCATGTCTAGAAAGAAATTATGCATCTGCAAATCTTGAAATTATAACAGCAGAAGAAACATACTGGTAGGACAACCATACTGTTTGACAAGACAATATCGTTAGCACTCTTCTGAGCTTTGACATTAACTACATAAACCTCCTTTTTGAGATAACATTGTCTAAACTTATCCCGGGAGATGTGGGGAAAAGTCAGACCCCATTTTGTCACAAAAGTTGAAAGTGGTGATCTGAGGCACGTCAATTTACCATGTTTTCTAGCAAGAACAAGCCGACCAATTTTTCCGCCAACAAGCCAATCGAAGACGATAAGATCCTAACTGAAGAAACATCTGGCTGGCGAAACGATCTGCATTGACATTAAAAGAGAAAAGAAAATGCACAATTACAGCAGTATACGTGACAATGATGAACCATGGAAAATACCGTCGAAGTGATTGCCAAATTCTTCATTGACTCTTCCAATTTGCAAAGGCCATTTCGACCAAGAACATGGAAGTGCCCCGAAAAATTTTGTTCGCGAGTGGGGGATTTTAGCAGGGGTATTCCATCATCCTAGCTGTTCAACAGTGTCTGTTTGCTTCAGATCAACTTAAAAAAGCAAAACGAGGCATATTTTCCACTTGAAAAATTAAAAGAAATGTCAATTTAAACCAATCTCTCGAATTCGCGGATGTGTTGTCATATGCTGTGATGGGCAGAACAAGCAGACCGAAGATTCCGATTATTGATGAATGAACAAAAACTGTGCCTAATAAGAATTGAATGCGGAATCGTGAAAAATTGTGTACTGAGCTCCGGTCATTGATGAATTCGAAAACCAGATATACGAAGAATTGAACAATTGGTGTAAATGAGTACTTCTAGCCAATTGCTCTCTCAAAGTTGATGGTGTGATTTTCTATATCCTGAGGGTTTGACTTAGACGTATTTATATTCTCATTCCCACCCTTAGAGATAACGTTTTCCATCAATATAGTTATCTTAAAATTGGGTGATCACTATAGTTATCATGCAGCTTAATGCAGACAATAAAATGTCAACGAAATTTAATTAATGTTGGCAATATGGGATCACATTGTCGGTCGGTATGATAACATTCTCCCATTTAATCCCAACATATCATCAAACGAAATATTGAATCAAATTCATAAAAACTTCATGCCGGAGACAAAGCACATGAATTATGGCGATAAGTCCTATTAAAACGAGTATTATCTTCCGTGCATCACAATGCACCTTATCTCTTCAAAATCAGCCCATATGTGACAACATAACTTAATGAATATACATTATGTTTACTCTAGGTCAAAAGTGATTGTTATTATCAGAATAAATGAATGTGTACACCAAAATCAAGAAAAACATCACAAATGAATAAGAGTTTCACAAATTCGTTCATATGAAGAAATTTTACATGATAGGACTGATTCTCATCCTAGCCACATGATCCTTATAACTTATTGGTAGCATGCCTCTACTTAAAGGATCATCTAACATCAATTCAGTGCTAACGTGTTTTATGACCATTTTGTTGTGTTTAACATGTTCTCTTATAGCTAAATGCTTAATGTCAATGTACTTGCTTCGACTACCATTTTTGTTGTTTTTAGCCATGAAAACCACAGCTGAATTGTCACAAAATATCCTTAATGGCCTAGCAATGGAATTCACAGCTCTAAGCCCTGATATGAAACTCTTCAACCATACACCATGCAAGGTGGCCTCAAAATAGGAAAGGAACTCAACCTCCATTGTGGAAGTAGCAATCAAAGTCTGCTTCACACTCCTCCAGGACACGGCTCCGCTAGTAAACATAAAAATGTATCTAGATGTTGATTTTCGAGAATCAACGCAACAAGCGAAGTCCGAATCCGAATAACCAACTACCTCCAGGTTATCAGTCCGTCTTTACATAAGCATATAACCTTTTGTACCTTGAAGGTACCTCATTACCTTATTTGTAGCTCTCTAGTGGTCCATACCTGGATTACAGCAAAAGCAATGTCAGGTCGAGTACAAATCTGAGCATACATCAAGCTTTCGACAGCATAAGTATATGATATGTTTTTCATTTGTTTCTTTTATAAATCGTTCTTCGGACACTAGTTCAAATTGAACCCGTCACCCTTCACAATAGGTGCTATGCTTGGTGATCAATCTTTCATTTGAAATCTCTCTAAGACTTTACTGATATAAGTTTCTTGAGATAGTCCTAAAATGCCTCGAGGTCTATCCCTATGGATCTTAATATCAATGAAATAAGATGCCTTACCTATATTTTTCATGTCAAAACTTTAGAAAGAAATTGTTTCACTTCATGTAAAAAGCCCTTATCATTGGTTGAAAGTAAAATGTCACTCACATATAGGACAAGAAAACAAATTTTGCTCTCACTGACCTTTGGGTATAGATATTGATCCATGACATTTTCTACAAAACTGAATGAAGAGATGACATCATGGAACCTTAAGTACCATTGGTGGGATGCTTATTTCAAACCATATATAGATTTTTTAAGCTTATATACCAAATGCTCACTATTACTAAAGGAGAACCCTTCTAATTGTTTCATGTAAATCTCTCCTCTAGTTCTCCATTGTCGTTTTCATATCAAGGATTTTTCGAACGAGTTAAGGACCGAATTTCATCAATGGCATGACAGCTTTATGAATTTGTATATTATCTAATTTCTTATTAATATTAGTCCATTTCATTGTCAAATTTCTAGTAGATATTAGTCTTCTCGTATATTATCAGTTATATATCAACAATTTATACCCTTTTTCTGCCCTAACACACCTTTTAATCTCATGAGGACTTATAGGGACTCTGTGGCTTGGGTGATAATCATATACAACAAGACTTAATGTTAATTAACTGTTTGATTATGGCTATTATATTTGATTCCTGGTTAAACAATGCATCCATAGAACTATGGAATGGGGGGCAAAAAAGTAGACAATTGTAAACTTGTCCTTTTAAAGAAAATTTAGCGTTAGTGCAAATTCTGTAAATATCTAAGGTTGTAAATAGCAGAAAGGTAATAATTGCCCTTTTGAAGAAAGCTATGCAGTACGTCATTGGCCACATAGAATTAGGTATGCGCTTGATCCTATGAAGAAAGTCCATCGACTTATTGGGAAAAAAGAGAGGAAAAAATGCTTGTTAAGAGAAAGACCTCTTATGTCTATGCCTTGACAGGGCTCTTAATCTATCAATCAAAGGTTAGAATTGGGCTAGGGTAGCCCCATTTCACCTTACCAACCCCAGGGGTATGTCTAGATCCAAAAGGAAGGGAGCATAGTATATTTTGTTTCCCACTCTTCTTCCTTTGTCTAATCGATCCCGCATATTTTATCAATTATGACGGTAGGGTACAAATTGGATAATAATGTCAATTGCGTTTTTTTTATACACTACTTGAAAATTGAGGGTAAATGTGTCTAAGTGTTACAATTTAGACATTTATGTGTACTTATTCTCTATATTTTTCATCGAAAAATATCTCCAAACATGAAATCTCATCTTAATTAGAGGTGAGGCAAATGATATTAAGTGTTTCAAGGTCTTATCTACTCCATCATCTTCAACCCCAGCAAAAGATACTGGATGATTATTGTCGCACCCCGAATTCATCAAGAATGAGGAATGACACGGCCATCCTTCCAACCAAAGGACGTAGTCTCAAAAAAAAAATATGTACAACTTAGAACTCAGCCAACCAACTAGTATCAATTCAAAAACGGTACAACTTGATGTCAATAGCGCTCTAATTCTACTTGCCACAAACCGAGGGACCTGAAAAATATGTAAAATGAATTGGATGAGTAACCACAACCCAATAAATAGTGCA